ACTCGGCCCTGACCCCGGTCACACACTGGGCCCTGACCCCGGTCACACTCAGCCCTGACCCCGGTCACACACTGAGCCCTGACCCCGGTCACACTCTGAGCCCTGACCCTGGTCACGCTGAGCCCTGACCCTGGTCACACTGAGCCCTGACCCTGGTCACACGCTGAGCCTTGACCCTGGTCACACCCTGAGCCCTGACCCTGGGCACACTCTGAGCCCTGACCCTGGTCACGCTGAGCCCTGACCCTGGTCACACTGAGCCCTGACCCTGGTCACACGCTGAGCCTTGACCCTGGTCACACCCTGAGCCCTGACCCTGGGCACACTCTGAGCCCTGACCCTGGTCACGCTGAGCCCTGACCCTGGTCACACTGAGCCCTGACCCTGGTCACACGCTGAGCCTTGACCCTGGTCACACCCTGAGCCCTGACCCTGGGCACACTCTGAGCCCTGACCCTGGTCACGCTGAGCCCTGACCCTGGTCACACTGAGCCCTGACCCTGGTCACACGCTGAGCCTTGACCCTGGTCACACCCTGAGCCCTGACCCTGGGCACACTCTGAGCCCTGACCCTGGTCACGCTGAGCCCTGACCCTGGTCACACTGAGCCCTGACCCTGGTCACACGCTGAGCCTTGACCCTGGTCACACCCTGAGCCCTGACCCTGGGCACACTCTGAGCCCTGACCCTGGTCACGCTGAGCCCTGACCCTGGTCACACTGAGCCCTGACCCTGGTCACACGCTGAGCCTTGACCCTGGTCACACCCTGAGCCCTGACCCTGGGCACACTCTGAGCCCTGACCCTGGTCACACCCTGAGCCCTGACCCTGTTCACACTCAGCCCTGACCCTGTTCACACTGATCGGGCCCCAGAAAGGGCGGGGCCTCGTGGCACACAGGCAGCCTCAACTGCGCCAGCCCAGCCCTCCTGGGCGACCCCCTCCGTCCTAAGCAGGAACTGAACTTCGCAGGGAGAGTCAGCCCAGGCCTCCCAGGGGCTCGGCAGAAACTCTAGGGGGGATGCCTGCCTCCTTTCGGGCCAGGTGTGTGCTCCCGCGGAAAGCAGGGCGGAGCCCTGGGTCAGAGGACAGGCAGGCCGTGGACTGGGCGGGACCGAGAGGCACGAGGGTGTAAGGCAGTGGAGTCCAATCCGCCAGCTCCCTGCACCAGTGCTGGTGCAGCTCCGAGGTGAGGTGCGAGCACTCGTGGTTACCCTGCTGCCAGGGCCTCAGTCCCACATCTGGGCACAGGCTGAGGGTGGTACCGGGGCTGCAGTGCTGAGACCTGGGTGCCCACCCTCGGGCTCCACCCGGCGCCCATGAGACAGGCCCTCCCGGTCGAGGACATCGGACCCACCGGAAGCGGGGGGAGGGGGGACCCAGGACAAGACAGAAATTCAACTCGGGGGGAAGGGCACCTCTGTGGTGAGAGAGAGAGAGAGAGAGAGGGCAGATTTGGAGTTGGTGGGTGCAGTGAGCCCCGAGGGGGTCTGGGCACAGCCCCGCAAGACCCTGGCCTTGACTCCTCCGCCAGAGGCCCCAGCGCTGCGTCTACAACCCCACCCCGGGTTTGCCCTGCCTCTGGGTGAAGTGGGGGTGACAGGGTCACAGGCAGGCGCAACCTGGGAGGCCGAGGTGCAGGCACCCAGGTGTGTGTGCCTGTGTGCACACGTGTGCCTATGTGCACGTGTGTGCCCGTGTATGTGCGCACGCGTGTGTGGTGGGAAGCAGTGGCTGGAGCCACGCTACATCGTCAGACCCCAGTGCCCCTCTCCTGCCTGACCTCGGCCCAGGGACTCCCATCCATCTCCCTGCCCGGGTGGGGGGGGCGCTGAGGGGCAGCCATTGGAGGTCAAGGTGGATGTGAGGGTTGGTGGCCCCAAGGTGACCCTGGCTCCCCCCTCCCCCGGACCTCTGTTGATCCAACGCGTTCTTTGTCTCTGGAGCCCACAGACACTCTGTGGCCAGTTGCCCAGGCAGCAGCCTGCCCAGTCGCCCAAACTGCCCCTCCCCACGACCCCCTCAGAGGAGCTGGGGGGCCCTGGCACCTGGGGCGCAGGGGCTGGGACTTGGGCCCAGAGTCACAGACCAGGGATCTGCCCTGGGGCTGGAAGTGGGCGCAGGGAGGGGGTGCCCGGAGGTGGGGGTGGGGGCTGGAAGCCCCCTGCACTCTCTTGGCAGCCTGGGGCGGGGGGCAGGGCTTCCAGGCACAGGTGTTTCCTGGTAGAGGAGGGAGAAGGACCCAGACGCTAAGGGAGGGTCACCAGGGCGGGAGGCGGAGGAATGAGGAAGGGGCAGGAGGGAGGGCCAGGCGGGGCGGCTCTCGCACCTAATCCGCCCGGCTGACCGGTCTGGGCTGTGCTGGTGCCCATCCCTGCGGGCAGGCCCGGGACTTAAAATGCCTGAGGGGAAAAACCAGGAAATATCTTTGTTGTTGTTGTTACTGGGCGCCCCAGGGGACACCTCCCACCTCCAGCCCAGAGACCACAGACCACTCACAGGCCGGGGAGGCCATGTGGGCAGACGGAGCAACCCCGATCCTGGTCACACCCTGACCCTGGGCACACGCTGAGCCCTGACCCGTCACACTCTGAGCCCTGACCCTGGTCACACCCTGAGCCCTGACCCTGGTCACACGCTGAGCCCTGACCCTGGTCACACGCTGAGCCCTGACCCTGGTCACACTCTGAGCCCTGACCCTGGTCACACTCTGAGCCCTGACCCTGGTCACACTCTGAGCCCTGACCCTGGTCACACTCTGAGCCCTGACCCTGGTCACACTCTGAGCCCTGACCCTGGTCACACTCTGAGCCCTGACCCTGGTCACACTCTGAGCCCTGACCCTGGTCACACTCTGAGCCCTGACCCTGGTCACACTCTGAGCCCTGACCCTGGTCACACTCTGAGCCCTGACCCTGGTCACACTCTGAGCCCTGACCCTGGTCACACTCTGAGCCCTGACCCTGGTCACACTCTGAGCCCTGACCCTGGTCACACTCTGAGCCCTGACCCTGGTCACACTCTGAGCCCTGACCCTGGTCACACTCTGAGCCCTGACCCTGGTCACAGGCTGAGCCCTGAACCTGGTCACACCCTGAGCCCTGACCCTGGGCACAGCCTGAGCCCTGACCCTGAGGTCGCCCGTTTGATTCCGGACAGGGAGGGCGCGGAAGGGGGCCGATCTTTGCTTCTCTCTCATCTCCGACCCCCCACCCCAACATGTCCTCCAGTGAGGAAGGAGGGAGAAGAGAGGAGGGAGGGGGAGGCTGAGGAGAGTGGTGTCCCCGGTGGGAGGAGATGGAGGGCGCGGGGCAGCCTGGAGGGGCTGAAGGTGAGGAGGGTGTGCAGTGAGGTGCTGGGGTCATGGGCAGAGGCCCTGGGTGCCCACCAGGGGGCTGCCCTTCCCGGGGACCCTCAGGCAGGGTGTGGGCCAGACCAGGGAGTTGCTGGGGGCAGCAGAGGACGGACAGAGGCGGTGAGCACCTGAGAAAACAGCTGAGGGGACAGCCCAGCCCCTCGGGCTCCCACATCCAACTGCATGAGCTGGGTCTGAGCCAGATGACATGGTTCTGCCCATTTCTCAGAGGAGGAAACTGAGGCTAGCCAGAGGGACTCAGTGCGCCCAGTGTGGGTGAGAAGCCTGTGGCCTCACCGGGTCAGTGGGCTCCGGTGCAGGGGTGGGGCAGGTAGCAGGGAAGGGGAGCGGCCAGGCCCCACCCCTGCATCGTGCACCTGACCTGCCTGGGTCCCTGCCTGGCCCGTGTCCCCCCCTCCCCCACCCCGCCCGACAGACACCAGTGCCGCTGGGACACGCCAGGGCTGCCTTGTCCCCACCCGGGGCACACGCTGCCTCGGGGCTCCCCGTTTCCACGTGGGCAACTGGGCCCTGGGGGGCATCGTCCCCTCCAGCCGGGGGCTCCGGACAGGGCTGGGGAGGGCGGGGCCTGCCTGACTCCCTCTTGTCACCACCCAGCCGTGGCCCTGCAATGCTTCACCTGCCAGGAGCCAACGGGGGTGTTCAGCTGCGTCCTCATCACCACCTGCAAGGCCAACGAAACCATGTGCAAGACCACACTCTACTCCCGGGAGATCGGTCAGTGCCTGGGCGGGCGGGGCTGTGCCGGGGGTCAGCGCAGCCTCCCGGCGAGGACCCCTGTGCAGTGGCCGTGTGCCTGGCACAGTGGGCACTCCACTGGTGCTGGTGGGAGGATGGGGGCCAGGTCACAGAGGGAGGGAGACGGGGTGGTGCCCTGCGGTGGGTCCTGCCGGAGGCGCGAGGCCAGCCTGACGCGGGTGCCCCCCCCCACAGTGTACCCCTTCCTGGGGGACGTCATGGTGACCAAGACCTGCGCCAGCAAGTGTGTGCCCTCGGACGTGGACGGCATCGGCCTGACACGGCCGGTGTCCTGCTGTCACACTGACCTGTGCAACGTGGGCGTGGGCGGGGCGCCTGCCCCCCGCGGCCCCTGTGGCCTGGCCCTGGCCCTCGCGCTGGCCTTCCTCCTGAGCCTCCCCCTCTCGTGCCCCCCCCCCCCGCCCGGCCGGAATGCCCTTGAAGAAGCTCGCCCACCTGCACCAGGCCTCCCGGTCTTCTTTCTGGGGCGTCCCCACCTGCGTCTCGGGCTGTCACCTGAAGCCTGAGCCCCCCTCTTGCCCCCACCTACTGCTCTCTCCTCATCACACCAGTCAGCACATCGCGGCCTCCCCGCCGTCCCCCTGGGAGCGAGGATGGTCACCAGCTGGGACACGCACAGACCTCTGGGGCTTGGCTGCTGGCTGGGGGTGGGGGGCGGGAGATGGGACCCCAGGTGCAGGGGGAACACCGCACCCACCAGAGCCAGGTCAGGGTGGCTTCTCGGAGGAGGAGGCAGTAGGGCAAGGCCTTCCACGACGGAGAGGTTGGGTGGAGGGGGCGCCAGGCCAGGAGGAAGGGCCAGGCCGGCCAGCAGTGACCCCGGACCAGGCACAACTCCCGGAAGCACCCACTGCCACTCACCCGGCCCACGGCCAGGCCCATGAAGAGGTCTCCCCGTGGCAGGGGGTGCTGAGAGGTGTGGGGGAGCCCCTGAGTGTCCACGCCCCGTTCTCCAGGCCCCACTCCCAGTGTCCAGAGAAACCCAGGCTCCAGTGCAGAGGGACCTTCACTTCACCTTGGACTTGGGCCGGCACCAACCCCCAGAGGGCTGCCCCTGTCTAGACTAGGAGCCTGCGGCTGTGTGCCTCCCACCGGGAGCGCCCTCCCTGCTACACGTGGCCGGCCAGGCGGTTTGATTTGCAAACATCCCCTCCTTGTCTCCTGGCATCTCTCCCTGGTCCCACAGGTTGCCCAGCCCACGGCCCGGCCCCTGCTGTCTGCAGGCCACCAGGGGAGGTGAGGAGCCAGGCCTGGCCCCAGGTGGCAAGCCAGCTCTCCAGCCGCCATCCTGTCCCGGGCCCAGAGCCAGGCCCTCCTGGGCAGGTCAGAGCAGGAACATGGCCCCTCCCCCACCAGGGGCCCGAGAACAGCCTTACACTCATCACAACTCTCCCACCCCCTCCCCCCCGGAGCCCGGCACGGCCTCCCGCGCACCCTGGGGGGTCACGGGACTTGACCCTGAGACCAAACTGGACACCTGAGCCGGGGGCCCTGACACCAGCCAGCAAGGTCTGGAGGTGACAAAGCCGGAGCTGAGGCCACTCCTCCTGCCCTCGCCCCGCGTTCTGTGGACCGTAGACCGGAGCCAGTCCTGCCCTGCCAGCCGGTCCCCTCCCATGGCCCCCCCTCCCCGTTCACAGGAATCCAACAAGCCGGGACGCCCCCCCCCCAACACACCCGGGAGTGCCCGCTGCTTCGGGGTGGGGTCGGCGCTTCCGAATGAGGAGCTCACCCAGACACTCACACCGAAGACCCTTTAATCCCGGGCCCTTCAGCAGAACACGTAGTGCAGCTCCCCAGCGGCTGTAAGGCGACTGTGTGCGCGTGAGGCATGAGGCGGGCTGTGCTCCTGGCTCCAAGGCGGGGGCGGGGGCTTCCCAGACTGGGCGGC